TGTGGTGGCCGTGAGCATGCCACTGCACTCCAGCCTGGGTGACAGAGTGAGACTCTGACTTTAAAAAAAAATTCAGTTCTCCAGTTGAACTAGCTACTTTTCAAGGGACCGCCGTAGTAGCTCAGATAACGAACATTTTCCAGCATCGCAGAAAGTTCTATGGGCACTTCCGGCTTAGACAGACCTGGTCTCTCTTTGTCCCCCTAGAGCTTACACTCCAGTGGAGGTGGGAGGGTGGAGAGGATGGAGAGTGGAGGTGATAAAGACCTTCTCTTTCTCGTTGCTTGGCCTACACAGAGCAAGCCATACCAGGGAATCAGATAGCAGGCCTCCCCCAGAGCCCAGGGAGCAGAAGAGCCTTGGATGGGCCCCTTCCCAGGATGGCCGGGTGTGGGAGAGGGCAGCATTTGTGACTATTCTATGACTGACCTCCCAGGACTGGACCTACAGAGATATCTGGGACTTTCTGCGGCAGCTGTTTGTTCCGTACTGTATCCTGTATGACCGAGGGTAAGCGTGTCAGGGGAAGAGAACAGGTGTGGGAGGACGAGAGGCTGCTGGGGTAGGGAGAGCCACCGAGAGCCCACCCCATCACACACTTGCCGGCCGTGCCTCCTGCTCCAGGTACACATCGCTGGGGAGTCAGGAGAACACGGTGCGCAACCCAGCCCTGAAGTGCCTGAGCCCGGGTGGACACCCCACCTACCGTCCAGCCTACCTACTAGAGAACGAAGATGAAGAGCGGAACTCCCGCATGTGACCTCCCACTCAGAAGGGTGGGGCAGGGGCTGTCCTAGGCTGTCCCCTGTTTCAATAAACTGTGCCTCTCACTGTGCCTGTTGCTCTAGCCATCTTCCTGCTCCAGGGATGGGAGAAGCACCCGTGGGCCAAAAGCTGCCAGCTCTGAGCTGGCTGTGCTCATTCCAAGAGGCCCAGGGGCAGGGCAAAGCAGGCTAGAAAGGGGCTCTCATTGACGACTCTCAGCGTCACCCTCAGCCAGAGCCCACCAGAAGGAGGATCCGAGAAAGGGCAGCCGGGCCGAAGGGCAGCTGTGTGGCCTGCCTGGGGAGGGTGAAAGATGGAGTAGCCAGGCCCTCCCTCCCACTAACCCCACCCCCTTCCCTGTCCATAGGGGCTGACTCAGCCTGTTCCCAGGCCCAGAACCTTCCCTTGCTAGACCCTGGGGCCTTTGTCTTTGTAGTCATGAGGCCCGAGGGGGGTGGGGACAGTGTTGATAAAAGGCCCCAAAGGCAGTTCCCACACCCTTCCTCAGAACCACTGCCCACATGCAGCCCCAGACACAGCCCCTAGCCCACACCCTACCCTTCTCCCTTGGAGGGGCCCTGCGAGACACTGGGCTCCGGGTGCCTGTCATTAAGATGGGCACAGGGTGGGAGGGCTTGCAGCGGACCCTGAAGGAAGTCGCCTATATCCTCCTTTGCTGCTGGTGTGTCAAGGAACTGCTGGATTAATGGTGGCAGGAAACTGTCCCCTCTTCCCACCAACACCATGGCTGTCATCGTGCAGGTGGGCAGAGTAGGGCGAACAGGAGGAGGCGTGGCTGCAGCTTCTGTGGCAGGGCATGCCTCTCAGCTTCCCATTCTCTTCTTAGTACCCAGTCCAGCCACCATCAAGACTCCTGGGCCAGCTGTGCTTGACCTCGGATGGGCCACCACCGAGTGAAGACTGAAGAGTGGATGCTGCTTTGAGTTGTGCCATCTGTCAGACTTGCCTCATCTCTGAGCCTCCATTCCCAGCCCCCATCTCTGGTGGACCTCTGGTGGGCAGGGGCTTGGCCTGCGGGCTAGGACCCTGATAAGACCGCAGCGGGACCTGGCACTCCTCCAAGCTTGGCACAGTGAGCCCACCAGCCCAGATGGTTGATCTTACCATACTCTTAGTACCAGGAATGAACTGCCCCCTCAGATGTCTGTTTGAGAATCACTGAATTATAATAAATAGGCCTTGAAGCCAAAAATTCTAAATGTCTAAAGAGGGATTAGAAAAAGTCAGCATTAGAGGGGTCTTGGAGCCAGGATGCAGACCAGGGAGGGAAGGAGCTTGTGGATAGAATTGAGACTGAAAGCCAGGTTGTCTGACTCACTTGTGCTTGGGTGGGGAGGGTAGAAGGCAGAAAGTCCAGGTTCCTCCTATCCTGTGGGTGGGGAGGGGTCCAGCTGGAGTGGGGTCTTTGTGAGTCCCAGACTGTGAGGTGGGAACCTAAAGGACCCAGCCCTTTCCCAAGTAGTAGGCCTGGTCTAGGCCACTCCCTGCCTCTAAGGGTTTTAGGGACAGCACTGAGCTGATGCCAGTCCTCAGCTCATGGAGGAAGTAGCAAGTGCCCCATGAGCCACAAGAGGACCCAGCTCACGTAGAGTTCCAGGAAAAGGGTACCTGTGTGGCCACATAGGTCCCTCAGGTTTGTCACAGCACAACCCCATCAGGGCATAACCGGCCAGATTGAGCAAAACGGTCTCTTTACTTCCCCTGGCAGGCATCACCACTTGCTTCCCTTGAATCGCTCCCAGGGGTGGGTCCACATCGCCATGTGTGTTGTCTTGCCCATGCTTACTGACATGCCCACCCCACAGCCCCCTGGACCTCAGAGCCAGCCACAGGACTTGCTCAACATTCTCTGGGATCCACATCTAGCATTCCCTGGCCCCTGTTGGGGCCCAGTTCTTTTTTTTTTTTTTTTTGAGTTGGAGTTTCACTGTCGCCCACACTGGAGTGCAATGACACGTTCCCAGTCACCGCAGCCTCGACCTGCTGGGCTCCAGCGATCCTTCCGCCTCAGCCTTCCAAGTAGCCGGAACTACCACGCCCAGCTAATTTTTTTTTTGATTTATTGTAGAGATGAGGTCTCGACAAATTGCCCAGGTAGATCTCGAACCCACAGGCTCAGGCAATCCACTCACCTCAGCCTCCCAAAGCACGGGATTACAGGCTGAGCCACCGAGCCCAGCTGGGGCCCAGTTCTTGTCCCCAAACAGTTTCTCCCCTGGGGCACTAACTAACTGGAGGTGTAGGGAGCCCTCTCCCTCCCTCCCTGGGACTAGCTTTTCCTCAGCCCTCTTAGTTAACTCCTTTTCCTCTAAGTTCTTTTTGTAAAGGTGATATATGCCTAGAGTAAGGAATTCTTTTTTTTGAGTCAGATCTCACTCTGTTGCCCAGGCTGGAGTGCAGTGGCATGCTCACGGTAGTCACTGCAGCCTCGACCTGCTGCATTCCTTCTACCTCAGCCTTCCAAGTAGCTGGAACTACAGGCGTGTGCCACCACACCCGGCTAATTTTTTTGATTTATTGTAGAGATGAGGTCTCACCAAGTTGCCCAGGCTGGTCTCGAGCCCATAGGCTCAGCCAATCCTCTCACCTCGGCCTCCCAAAGTGCTGGGATTACAGGTGTGAGCCACTGTGCCTGACCAGAATTCTTTTTTTTTTTCTTTGAGTTGGAATCTCATTCTGTCACCCAGGTTGGAGTGCAGTGGCATGCTTACAGCTACTGCAACCTCCACCTGCTGGACTCAGACAATCCGTCCACCTCAGCCTTCCAAGTAACTAGAACTACAGGTATGTGCCACCATGCCTGGCTAATTTTTTGATTTTTATATTGTAGAGATGAGGTCTCACCAAGTTGCCCAGGCGGGTCTCAAACCCCTGGGCTCAGGCAATCCTCTCACTTCGGCCTCCCAAAGTGCTGGGATT